GCTAAGGCAAGAAGGCAGAAGTGGAGAAAGAAGAAGAGTGGGAAATAAGACACCCAAATGAAAAAGAGCAAATGAGTCAGTATGGAGTAGACAGTCCAGGAAAAGGCAGAGGGTAATAAATGAGGAGGAGCCTGGGATGTGAAAATCTGGGAGAAATGAGTGTGAAACCAACTGTGAAGGGATGGTCAGGGCACTGCTTAACAGATTTCTTGGGTGCTAATTATCTCCCCTACCAGGGGTGAGGCCCTGTGTTGAGTCCCATATTCCCATAAGAAGGAGGTGTTACATACATGCAGTCCATCCTCGCCTTCTGTGATCTTTGTGGTCTCTTTCAGGTGGTATACCAGGGTAGTCCTTATGCACCTCATAACTCCACGCTTTACCTTACCTACAAAACAGGAGTAGAGGTGGGATGCTGGGGGCTGTGCATCAATGCAGTTTCTTCATCAGTCTATTCTTGTAAGTACCCAGGAATGTACTCCAACACTGTGTTTTGAAACAGTATTTACCATTACCATTTACCATACATTCACTATTTGCCATTGTTTAAAAAAAATAAAGTGATGCCAAATTAACTGGTTTTTTCCACAGTAGAACTTTAAGAAATGTTACAATCTCAGCATTGTTAGAAACTCGTATCTTAACATGAACAGTTCCTGACCACATGATGAGGGCTCACTTTGGGAGTAAGGCATTGTTCTGCATGTGAACTGACCCTGAACACTGAAAATCGTCCTGAATTTAAATGCCAGACTAAAATGGATGCCATGGGCGTCATTCTGAGATGCTCTTTCACCTAGCAGTGCTCTGTAGCTGTAGGTTCTCGAAGGTCCCTCTGATGGCCTCTCCCCACCTGGAGATTATAAAAAATGACTTTTTCACAATGCAGTAGAAGTTCTTGCCAGAAGCATGAACCTTGCTCTCCAAAATTATGTGTAAATATGCTAGCACAGTTCCCCAGGTAGATTTCACCATAGCTCTTACTAGAATTAAAAAAACCTACTTGCGATCTGAAAACTCAAATGAGTAGCATTTTGGGTGCTGAATTGAGCATCTAAAAGAGGCTTGAGGGAAATCTTTGCCCCTTTGGAGCTTAACTACAGGCATTTCTGTAGCGCCTTTCTCAGCTCAGACAGAGGTTGATGCCAAATGTTCGCATTATAATCAAACAGCGGAAATGTCTGAGGTTGTCAGTGAGGGCAGTTCTTCCAGAATGGTTGTTAACTACTTCTTCTCTGGAGTTGGCTATGCCAGAATAAGACTATCCCCAGAGAAAGCAAATATTCTTTGGCAAGTTTATACCTACAACAATTTGAGGCAACTTCCAAAATCAGTAAGATTATCTCCTTCATTGCATTTTACAAAATAAAACCCTTTAAAGGAACTCCCTGATGAAATGTGACCTGTTTTAGTTTAGTCTTATCAGCATTTTCACTTTCTTTTCACAGACCTGCAGAAAATCCTTCTGCCATACATAGGATTAAAGGGACTTTATTTCATTGGATACCTACTTTTTGGATTGGGTACTGGATTTATTGGCTTGTTTCCTAATGTCTATTCCACTCTGGCTCTGTGTTCCCTCTTTGGTGTCATGTCCAGCACACTGTACACAGTGCCATTCCACCTCATTGCAGAGTATCACAGGGAAGAAGAGGTGAGTTCAATGTCTAAGGAATGGTAAGTTTATATCTGTCTGGGTCTGTTTAGTCTATTTTGGGAGAAAACTGGATAGAACTGGTGAGCAGCTTTTAATTTTAATTTCAAAATATTTATGGTGACACATGTTATGAATGGAAAGTTTCTGACAGGGAGAGTTAAAGTCCCAGCTCCAAACTCTCCAAACAGTCCTGCAGCAAGACAAATAATTAATTATCATCACAGCTGAAACAAAGCCAATCACAGTATGTGTTCAGGCAGTAAGCAGATAATGGGACTCCACTTCGTGTTGCCTTCAAGCTTCCTTATATCCTTCCTTCCAGCTATACTAGCTGAGGACTTGACTTCTGAGTTCCTAAGGTTAATAACCACACTGTAAAGGCTGGCAGAAGTCTTAGTTAACTGCAAAGTGTTACAAAAGCTGTTAGCTAATGAAGATATGAAATTCAAGTACAAACAGGTTTGTATAGTCCAGTATTAAATTATAAACCACGTTCTCATTGTCTCTCTAAATGTCTGGCATTGGTTTTTAGTCCCCCACAGCACGAAATCCTGTTTCCAAGGAAAATCTGGAAAAGCTTGCATTCCTTATCATGTTACTGGGCACAGCAGGATCTTCATGTCTTGTAAAGTGTTGAGCTCTTTAATGGAAAAGTTCTCTCAAGTCTCTTAAGCTAGTGAGAGAGCTAGAAACAAGAAGGATTAAGGGAGTTGGATTAAGAAGGAGTTGGGAGGACTTAGGAAAAGTTCTCATTGTATCTGGAGACATTTGAAGAAATTAGTAAAGGAAATGTTGAACCATTGAAAAACAACGTAGAAACATAGTTGAGACCAGCATAGGTCTAGATCAAGTCCCTGAGAACAAGTCCTACTGTTCTGTACAACTTTTAAGCATCACCATCTGAATGACAAATACAAGAAAACTCTTAATTATTCTATTGAATCCTAGGAGGATGTCTCTACATGGATAAATATTTAATAGATCTGATTCCTAATTTTTCAGTTAATTTCTCTCTTCCTTCCAACAGAGAACAATCATGATGAAGAGTTTTAGAAAGATATAACAAAGGACAGGGAATGAACCCAGTTTAGAGTGAGATCACACTCCTAATCTCGGGCCAGCCAACTCACAGAGAGGGATTAAAGGCGAAATTGTAGTCTAGCTCTGACTCAGAGCTGTTCCAAGACAGAAGTGAAATAAAATATGCTGAGTGGGCATGGACTTTATATTTAATAGGCTAATATATTCAAATGTTACTTGTAAGACAACCAATTTCTTGTTTCTTGTTTGGTGTATGGTACTTGCTATGCCAGATGTTAAATGATATCTAATTCTATGTTAGATCTGATATTAACAGAATTAGGTTTAGCTCAAATCTTCTATAATGTACAAGATAGAAAAAATAAAGAGGAAACATCAAGTGCAAGACTGCATTCATTTACACATTCATATAATTGTGGTCAGAACTACTGGCACATAGGAACACTGGGCACAGCCCAGCAAAATAAATTTAATTCCAAAAAAATTGTGTCTAGAATTGGAGATACTTCAGGTGAAAGGACTGTATCATTCCAGAACAAAGAGCAGACATTTTCTCCTCACTATGCATTCTACCAAAATCATGTGCTGGGTTTTAAAATGCTGCCATTTCAACTCCTGCTCCATGCTGCTGTCCCCTAGGATCCAAATTCAATTTTCTCTACTAGATGAGGAAGAGACTGTCTCCAGTACTTTTGAGCTTTGTGTCTAACAGCTCAAAGGCAATGTAATAGGTCTTGCAAAAAGTAAAAAGCATCTTACTGGCCGAGAGTGTTTGGATACCAGAAGACAACAGCACAGCTAGCCTACATCATGGAAACCTCTTGTTTGTTACAATACAACCTTCTCCATTCAACAGTCTATGCAAGAAGAACAATAAATATGTAAACTATAATGTAATTTCCCAACAAAACAGAATAGTTCCTTCCTGGTGGGAATCACAGGACAGCTGAAGTTAGAAGGGACCTCCAGAGATCATGTAGTCCAACCCTCCTGCTCAAGCAGGGCCACCTGGAGCAGGTTGCCCAGGGTCATGTCCAGTCTGGTTTGAATATTTCCAAGGATGCAAACTCCACAAACCCTCTGGTCAACCTGTTCCAGTGATCAACTACCCTCACAGAGTGCTTATATATGAGATGCTTGTATATAATAAATGAAGGCTTTTGCTCTATGTATATCATAGCACGTATACAGATAATCGGTAGTTAATAATGGTCTTCTGTAATGTAGAAGAATCCTAGTCTGGACATTTGTTTTCAGATTATTTTTTTTCCCCAGCAATAAAAGCATTACATTTAGATTTTAGTACTGAACTCCTTTATGTGCTTTGAGGCGTAACTTCAGAGCACAGTGCTCCATTATAATGAATTATGATCTGTACATGTGTGGCACATAGGATGACTCATCTTAACATCCCTTTGAGGCTCTCCTTCAACCATGAGAGTTGGAGCTAAATTATCTATGACGGGGTGACCTGTACTGTGAAATGACAGTTTTCCAGGGCTCAAATAGACCTGAACTTCAAGGAAACGGCTAATTTTTCTGATCAAGTTTCAATTCTTTCCATGAGAGAAGGGATAGAGGGAAAAATTGTGGATGGGAGAAATGGGACAATTTAGGAGGAGCTTGGAAAACACATTATCACTTGTAAAATCTCTGTTTGAATTCCGTAACCTCTATGGCACAAGCAGAAAAAACAGAAAGGAAGCAGAGAGCTATTGGCCTGTCTTGCTGCACCTGGGCGTCGTGACAGTGCATTGGCTGAGAGCTGCACGTTGTCAGTGCTGTCTCATTTCACTGGGTTTTGTTTTGTGTTTATTTGCAGAGCCTGAAGCTGCAGGATGGGGAACAAGCTGGTGAGCACAGGCGAGGGAAGGGCATTGACTGTGCTGCTCTCACCTGCATGGTCCAGCTGGCCCAGATCATTCTCGGTGTGGGCCTGGGGCTCTTGGTTAGTGTTGCTGGCAGTGCTGTCACTGTGATTTCGGCATCTACAGTGGCACTGATCGGCTGCTGCTTTGTTGCTTTTTGTGTTCGATACGTGGAGTAGGACTGTGTGAAGTGGTTGGAAGAAATCTCACCAGGGGATAATTTTTCTTTCTGAGTCAGTAGCACTGGTGCTGTTGCTGTGCTGATGCTGCTGGCATGTCCTCCTCTCTTACCTCCTCGGTGCAGTTGCAATTCCAGAGCTTTACGAAAGGGAGACTTGATGAAACTGGTTGCCTAATGCCTCAGAGTGAAAGCTTCTATATTTTGACTGCTTT